ATGCCACGTGGCGCCTTCGAAGTTTCGGTGTGAAGCCCGAGCAGCTGCAGTCCTGAGATAGTGCTGTCGTGGCGACGTTGCGGGATGACTTCCTGTACGTCGTCGTCATCGCTTTCTGGTTCAGGAGGCGCTGGTGGTGCTGTGCCTCTGCCGCTTCCGCCTGTTCCGCTTCCGCCTGCTGCGCCCATTCCTCCTCCCGAGGAATCGTCGTCGTCGTCGTCGCTGCTGCGTCGTTCTTCCCACACGAACTCGCCCCTCGTGTCCTGCTCCAAGATTGTTGCAGCGGCTTCGTCTTCGGGCGTTGCGTAGCTTTGCCCATCGTTCGCGTAGACGCGGTTCGCGTTCGTTTCTTCGTCGCAGCGGAACTGGTCGAGGAAGAGGCGCTCGTAGAAGATGACGTCGCAAGCGTGAGCGATTTTCTGACTGAAGAGGTCCAAGACGCTCCACGCCTTGTACTCGTGACTGATGTCGAGATGGATCCCCCAGCGCGCGCGGCTGGCGAATTTGCCGACGGTTGAAGTCGGCGGGCGGTATTGAACCATGCACCCCCATACGCGCAGCATGGAGGTATCCTCTTTGGTCCCGGTCCATTTGACGTGCGGGGACAGATTGCCGGTGATGGCGGTGGTCGAGAGTAGGTTGTGCACCCACAATGCGTGGTGCATCGCGTAGGTCCAGTAGATCGGCGGCAATTTCGACTACTTCATCAGCGCGCGCACCTTCATCATTAGCGTGCGGTTCGTCCGCTCAGCTACGCCCTGCTGCTGGTGCGCGTAGGGGAGAGAAATGTGGTGCTTGATCCCCTTTTGCGTGAGGTAGGTTTGCATCTGGTTGCTCCTGAATTCTGCCGCGCCGTCAGATTGCCAGATTTTCAGCTTCTTCCCAGACTGTCGCTCTGCGTGCGCCAGCCAGAGGCGAAACACCTCATAGGCTCTGTCCCGTGACTCCACGTTCACGACCTACACGTAGCGCATTCCCGTGTCGCTGAAGGTGAGCGTGTACATTACGTCCTCAGAATGCCCCACGTTCAGGAAATCGCTGTACACCTTGTGTAGCTTGGGGTAGCGGTTCGTTCCAGGTTCAAGCAGCGGGAACGGTTGGTGGCTCAGCGCAGCTTCGGGGCAGATGGTGCAGTTGTGCGGATGTGTCTCGCCTCTCACTTCGGAGCCATCAGGGCGCAGGAGTGCGCCAGGGGCGAAGACGCCTGTCGCGAATCTCAGAGAGCAGAATGTTGGTCCCGGAGATGGTTCCAGGGACGAAGGTGGGTTCGCGTGGCTTAGGGGCAGGTCCATAGACGGTGCGGCGCGGGGTTGACGGCTCGTTGCTCCAGATGATGGTGTCCCATGGATCGCGACGCGGGGGGTTGTCAGGAGGAGGTGGTGCGAGTGGAATGTGACGCGGGGGACGGCCAAGAGGAATGACTGTAGGTGTTGCCTCAGTTTCATCCTCTCCCCCCTTTCGTTCTTCGCGGAAAGTACCCCAGCCGCTATTGTCGGCGCTAGTTGCGGCGCCCCATCCGCCACTCGCGTTGGCCCTGGTTCCGCCGGTGTCTCCCCATCCTCCGGCGCTCCCCCACCCTCCTTCATTGGAGGCACTTTCTTCAGCCTCAGCTACCCAGGTGGTGCAAGCGAAGGTCCCGCGTGCTTCTGCGAGGCTTTGATGGCGAAGCTCCTTAGCTTCGCGGCGTGCCAATTCTTCCTCTTGCTCCGCGGTGAGTTTCTTCGATGAGTCGCGTTGATGAGAGTAGATGGCCAGAAACCTCTCGTAGGTGTAGGGTCGCGACTCGCCATGGGCATCAAAGGTGCCGACGCCAGTTCCGCGCAGCATGCCTTGAAGGTGCTGTGAGGGGAGACCGATGAGGGGATGCTCTGGCGTGCCGAAAATGCCGTGGGTACTAACTTCAAGCTCGAGCTGCGACATCCCTTCCTCTTGGGGCGTGTGGCGCTCTGCTTCACCGATGGCGGCGAGTCCGCGGCCGGCAATCGCGCTCGTTGATGTCGTCGGCGTGTAACAATTCCTGCAGATGCCATCTGGATCGGGGTTGTGTAACGCCGTTTCGCGTGGGTGGGGATGGTGCGGCACCCACGATCTGCCGTCAGGGTGCTTCCAATCCCTGCGGTGGATGTGCTCGAAGCGCAGTGGCACGAGATCAATCAACTCGTGCGAGTCGCCGTTGCAGTCGGGAATGTCGAAATCTAGGACATACACTCCATTTTGGAGTGCGCTCATTCGATCTGCCTGCTGGGGAATGTGTGCGATTCGTAGTGCAGCAGGATGTCTCGCGTCTCGCGATCTGTGCTGAGGTCGACGCCACAGTCCATGAGCTGTGCGGCGGACAGGAGGTTGAAGCGCAGGTTCTGGACGATCAGCACATCGTTAAGCGTGATGTGCGTGCGGCTTCCACGTGCTTTGAGCACGACAATGCCTTGTGCGCTTGCGCGCAGGCGCGTGTTGTTCGCCACAGTGACGTAAGTGACTGTAGGGGTGGGGACGGCGTTGGATATGTAACGCTCGGAGCCCACCATATGCTGGCCGCAGCAGCTGTCCAGGTACCAGGTGTTGTAGCGCTTGTTGTCGTCACGTGCGAGGAGTGCCAATCGCGGTGTGACGATGTGCGGGGTGTCGAACTTCAGAAATTGCTCGCGCGAGAGCCAATCAAGTGGCGCCACCCGCATGTCCGGATGTGCGGGGGACTTTCAAGCAGCGGGACTGGGAGGTTCCAGTCCTGGTCGTCGTCGCCGTTGAAGTCGCAGCGCGGGCTGAACGGGTTGTTGTTGGTGAACGCGCTGATGGGGTGCGGTGCTGGCTCACGTGAGGGTGAGCGAACACGGCGACGACGTGACTCGCCTGTAATGGCCATGTTGCTCATGACGTTGCGCGTAGGGGCAGTTGATGGCTGCTGCTGCTGATGCTGAACGGTTGAGTTCAGATTGCGCGCCGGTGGGGGTTGATACCCTTGGGCTGGACGCACGTCGCCTCGTGCGTCTTGTCGGCCGGACCAGTTGCTCGGATTGGTCTGGCGAGGGCGAGATCGGAACTTACATCGATCTGCCAAATGCCTGAAGTTTCTGCAGATTTTGCAGAAGAGGCGCCGCGGTTGTCGCTCTTTGTTGTTGTCGGCGTAGAAGGCGAGCCGTTCACGTTCTCATCATGGCGCTGGTCGCTGCTGATCCATATCCCGTTGTTCGACGAGAAGGGCGGCGCAAAGGGCGGCCTCCGAGATGACCCCCTGCTGTCGGAGGAGCGCCTTGCAGGGCCGCCACACTGGGCCAAGCCCTTGAAGCACAATGTTCACGAAGATTTCCTCGGAAATCGAGCTTTCCAACTTCACGATTTGATCGCGAAGGCTCCGACAGCGGTTGATGTAGCTGTTGACCTTCTCCCCTGAGGTAATCTTAGATTCCAGCAGTTGCTGGAGTAGTCGGCTCGAGGAGACGGATTCCTTGGGCTAATACACGCCGTTCAGGTGGCGCCAAGCGTCGAGGGCTGGGGCAGGCGATGTCTTGTATGAACGAATGTTCAGCTGCTCCGCCGACGACATGTTACGCATAAGATTCCCGTACGCCATCAGGGACTCGTTATAATAGCGAGTCCTTGCGTCGTCGGTTTCCTCAGCAGGTCCCGAGTAGCTCCCGTCGAAATAATGATAAATCTGCGCGTTTTGCAGCAGCAGCTCCAGCTCGAAGCTCCAAGTGTAAAAGTCTCTGCCGTCAAAGCACACGCTTGTCTTTATTTTTTATATGCTCAAAAACCTTGATTGCGCGGAGAGAATTGCTTCATCGCTGGGACAGGGAGTCTTGGGGGTTGAGCCATTCGTATTCAGGGAGAAGCCTTGCGGGGCGGAGTTTTGGCCGTTTGGGGCCGGTTGAGTGGGTTGGGAAGAATTTCCCGCATCGCCATTCCGCAATGTCTGGAGCCCTTGCTCCAGGCTCATGAGTCGCTGAAGCAGTTGTGCGAGGACGGCGGAAGGAATCGTCGACGTTTCCTCGTTTATCGCAGCCGGGTTGGGCTGTGCTTCAGTCGTCAGATTCGTCTGACCTCCAGATCCTCCGGCCATTCTTACACGTGATCGTGTGCCGGACGCCACTTTTTGAATGTCGCAGATTTCAGAGATGGCGGTGCGAAGGATTCCTGAGTTGCTCTCATACCATGCTGCGATCAGAAGTTGATCGTGGCCTAGGATCTACTCAGGAAGGTTCGCACGCAGAGAAGTGATGTTGGTGGGCCCTTGACCTCAATAGCAGAGTGAATGTAAATGCTTGAGATTAATAAAACATGCAAATACAGCAAATATAAATATGAGTACAGCGGAGATGAAACGACCTAGCTAGCCATGTACTCTAAGGGGTACATTCCCTTATTCAAATACATTCCCATCCGTGCGGCGCGAACAGTTACGAAACTGTTCCCGCCGAAGCCATCATGCCTGCAGCTGCCTGATGCTGTCTGTTCCGACGGTTCAGATGCGTCCCAATTGTCTGACGCTTCGAGTCGTTTCCAACCGTCTGACGCTTCGCGTTCATTCGCGATACTTCGTACTTCTCTTTGCTGCGGTGAGGAGTGCACAGTAATATTCAAGTATTACTATTCGTAACAATAGGCTTGACCACTTATTTAGGTTTTACAGATTGTGTTGTTCCGTGTGATAGTTGATTATTCAAAATCTATGCTATTGACCTCCTCCCCATGCTAGGCTGACGGTAGCTTAGTTTTTGAGTCGTTTGTCAGAACTAGCAGTTGAAAGAAAGAATGGAGAAATGAGGGGGTTCACTAGTAAGCAGTTGGATAAATATAGCAAAGCCTAATTGGGTTATACTCACTACAGAGTACCCCACTGCAAGCTAGACAATTATAACATTCTGACACACCCCCATAGCCAAAGTGGGGTGTAATCAGCACAATGAGCAAGCATAGCAGTAGTTCACAATTATAAGCAAAGCTAGTGGTAGTCACAGCAGGCAAGTGAGGAGGAGGGACTGTGAGAGGAGAGAAGATGGGAGATGACGGCTGAAGCTGCAGACACACGGGCAACAGGAGCGGCTGGCACAGTGGCTGCCGAGACAGCGCCCCGGACTACTGGAGTAACTGGCTACAAGGAGCTACAGGAGCAACGGACCCACGGGCGACAGGCGCAACAGGCTCTCAGGGCTACTAGGACAGCGCCCCAGACTACAGGTGCTGTAGACGACAAGACGGCAGCCTCCTCTCAGCCTCCCCCGACCGTCCCACACCCCCTGACACACACCCCTTGCTTCACCCCTAGCTCCACTCCCCCTTCACCCCTTAGTACCACTCCAACGGCTCCAACAGATCCACCCCCCTCAGCGGCAGCTGCAGCACTGGGAGACGGAGGAGGAGGAGGAGCAGGGGATGGCACACAGAAACTGCACCCCCATACCCGCCACCCCCACACTCCTCACCCCCAAACCCTAAAACGGGTTGCAAAGGGTAGGAGCGCAAGGGACGGCGGGGGGGACGGCGCGCGGCCCTCAGGGCGCCACCACGGGGCAGCAGGGTGCCGCGCTCGGCTCCCCAGGGCGGTGCGACGAGGCAGCGCAGGGTCGCGCGCGGCTCCCCAGGGCAGCGCGACGGGGAATCGGGGGCCGCGCGCGGCTCCCCATAGCGTCGCGACGTGACGACGCGAACAGGGGGGGGACGCGCGGCCCCCGTGGCGCCACGACGGGCGACAGAAGGAGGGGGACGCACGGCCCCCTAGGCGCCTCGACGGGCGACGGGATGGGGGGGACGTGCGGCCCCCGCGACGCCACGACGGGAGCCGGGAGAGGGCGCCACGAACGGCGACGGGATGGCAAGGGGGGCGCGCGCGGATCCACCGTGCAGAAAACCGCCGCGCGCCTCGGGGCGCACGGCGAGCAAAAAACCGCCGCGCGCCCCGAGCTCCCGGCGGGATGAAAAACGCAAGAAAAAGTTTTCGCCGGCAGGAAGAAGACGGTGCGCGCCCGAGGCGCGCGAGAAGCAGAACAGCAGCGGAAGCAGTTAGGTGGTGGGCCCACCCACAGGATCGACCCAAGGGGGTTGACCTGCTCTGATAGCATGTCAGAACTAGCAGTTGAAAGTAAGAATGAAGAAAGGAGGGGGTTCACTAGCAAGCAGTTGGATACATATAGCAAACCCTAATTGGGCTGTACTCACTACAGAGTACCCCACTGCAGGCTAGACAATTATAACATTCTGACATCGTTAACTGTCACGCATTTTATTACGTGAATATATATGCATTATTATTAATGACATCATATTAAACATTATGCATCTTATAGCATTATTTAAGCATATGCATTTATTTATCATTACTACAAGATAATTTATCAGTAAAACGTATAATGCAAATGTCAGAATGTTATTCTCTAGCCTGTAGTGGGGTGCTCTATAGCAAGTACAACACTTTAGGGTTTGCTATATGTGTCCTCATTGCTGCTAGTGAAACCCTCTCTTTTTGCCTAAACTTCTCTTGCCTAGCTAGGGCTTACCTAGCTATGGCTCCTAACTCTGCTTACTGTCTTCACATGCTATCAGAGCGGGTACGCTCCTGGCCTGTGGGCCCACCTACTTCCGCTGCTACTCGATCTGTCGCACGCCCCGTGGCGTGCGACGCATTTGCCCTTCGCGGCCCCCACTCGGCCCCTCCCCCCCCTTCACGGCCTCGTCGCCGCCCTTAGCGGCCCCGTCGCCGCCCGCAGCGGCCCCGTCGCCGCCCTCTACGGCCCCGTCGCCGCCTGCAGTGGCCCCGTCGCCGCCGCAGCGGCCTCGTCGTGTCAAGTATAGTAGGAGTACGGCCTAGGCTTAGTAGCCTAGGCCACAGTAGGACTACGAACGGAGGAGCCAAGTACAAGCTAGGAGTTGTGTGCACGAATACTATTGAGAAGGAATGGTGGTACTAGCATGCAGCAGGATACAAATAGCAAACCCTAAGGGGCTGTACTCACTATTGAGTGCCCCACTGCAGGCTACACAAACAACATATTCTGACACACCCCCATAGCCAAAGTGGGGTGTAATCAGTACAGCAAGCAAAGCAGAACAAGCTCAAGGTGGATCATAATGTCACCACACATTCTGAGCACAAGTACAAGAAGCAACAGTTTAAAGTTCACAATTATAAGCAAAGCTAGTGGTAATCACAGCGGGAAAGTGAGGAGGAGGAGGGACTGTGAGAGGAGAGAAGATGGGAGACGACGGCTGAAACTGCAGACACACGGGCAACAGGAGCGGCTGGCACAGTGGCTACCGGGACAGCGTCCTGGACTACTGGAGTAACTGGCTCACGAGCTACGAGGAGCTACAGGAGCAACGGACCCACGGGCGACAGGCGCAGCAGGCTCTCTGGGCTACCAGGACTGTGCGCCCCGGACTACAGGTGCTGCGGACGACAAGACAGCCGCCTCCACTCAACCTCCTCGAACTGTCCCACACCCCCCTACACACACCCCCAGTTTCACCCCTAGCTCCACTCCCACATCACCCCCCTAGCTCCACTCCCCACAGCTCCCACACCTCCACCTCCCTCAGCGACAGGTGCAGTAGTGGGAGATGAAAAAGGAGGAGGGGAGAACCCACACCTCTCACCCCCGTGCTCGCCACCCCACCCCCCAACCACCGCGGAACACACGGCAGAACGGGAGAATGGGCAGGGGGGGGGGATGGGGTGCAGGGATAGCATCACAAGCAACTGCTGGGGCGGGCCGCGGGCTGCTGCAGTGGTGGGCGGCTCCAGGGGCTACTGCTGCAGTGGTGGGCGGCTCCAGGGGCTGCTGCTGCAGTGGTGGGCGGCTCCAGGGGCGGCCGCCACACTTGAAGGGCAGGAGGAGGGGAGGGGGGGGGGGGGGGGGAGGGGGGGGGGGACGCACGGCCCCCAGGGCGCCCCGAGGGGCGACGAGAAGGGAGCTGCGCGGCTCCCCCCCCCCCCCCCCCCGGGGCGCCGCGACGGGCACCAGGGAGGGCACCGCGACGGGCCCCAGAGCCGCCTCGACGGGCGACGGGGAGGGCGCCGCGTGGCCCCCCCGAAGTCGCCTCGACGGGCGACGGGGAGGGCGCCGCACGGGCCCCCCGAAGTCGCCTCGACGGGTGACGGGAGGGGACCGCACGCGGGCCCCGTGGTCGCCACGACGGGTGACTGGTGGGGAGGCCGCGCGAGCCCCCAAGGTCGCCTCGACGGGCGACCGGAGGGGAGGCCGCGCGGGTCCCCGAGGTCGCCTCGACAGGCGACGGGAGGGGAGGCCGCGCGGGTCCCCGAGGTCGCCTTGACGGGCGACGGGAGGGGAGGCCGCGCGGGTCCCCAAGAGCGCCTCGACGGGCGCTTCGACGGGAGGGGATCGCGGAGGCCCCCCCAAGGGCACCACGACGGGCGCCACGGAAGGGAAAACCGCCAGGCGCCCCGAGCGCGCGGCGGGCAGAAATTAGGGTTTCACCGCCGCGCACCACGGGGCGCGCGGCGGATAGTGAAGCAGCGGAAGCGGGTGGTGGGCCCATACACAGGAAGGCGGCAGACATGCCGCCCTCTGATACCATGTCAAGTATAGTAGGAGTACGGCCTAGGCTTAGTAGCCTAGGCCACAGTAGGACTACGAACGGAGGAGCCAAGTACGAGCTAGGAGTTCTGTGCACGAACAGTATTGAGAAGGAATGGTGGTACTAGCAAGCAGCAGGATACAAATAGCAAACCCTAAGGGGTTGTACTCACTATTGAGTGCCCCACTGCAGGCTACACAAACAGCATATTCTGACACGTCGCTGTCCGCAGCGGCCCCGTCGCCGCCCGCAGCGGCCCCGTCGCCGCCCGTAGTGACCCCTTCGCCGCCCGCAGCGGCCCCGTCGCTGCCCGCAGCGGCCCCGTCGCCGCCCTCCGCGGCCCCGTCGCCGCCCGCAGCGGCCCCATCGCCGCCCTCTGCGGTCGCGTCGCCGCCCTCCCGCTGCCCCTTCGCGGCGCGCTGGGGAGCCGCGCGCGGTTCCTCGCTGCCCCGTGGTGGCGCCCTGGGGGCCGCGCGCCGTTCCCCTCGCCGTCCCCTGCGCTCCTTCCCCGTCCCACCCGTTGTAGGGTTTGGGGGTGCGGGGTGTGGGGGTGGCGGTTGTGGGGGTGTCGGTTGTGTGCGCCGTCCCCTCCTTTGCTTATTCTCTCTTGCCTAGCTAGGACTTACCTAGCTATGGCACCTAACCATTCCTCAATTCTCACATGGTTTCAGAGCACTCACACTCCTGGCATGTGGGCCCTACTGCTGCTTCCCCTACTACTCTGTGTGTTGCACGCCCCGTGGCGTGCGACGGATTTCTCTTCCCACCGTGCGCTCAGAGCGTGCGGCGGTTTTCCGCCCGCCGTGCGCCCCGGGGCGTGCGGCGGTTCTCTGCCCGCCGTGCGCCCTGAGGCGCGCGGCGGCCTTCTGCCCCGTCGGTCCGCGCGTCGCCCCCGGGGGGCGCTTCGACGGGCGACGGGGACCAGCCCGTCGTCCCCCGTCGCCCGTCCTGGCCAGCGCGGGCTGCGCTAGCCCCAAGCGCGGCCCGTACGGGCTGCACCAGGCCTGCGCACGGCTCAGGCCGCCTGCCCGCGGTTCGTCGGGCTGTGCCAGGCCCGTGGGCGGCCCGTTCCTCTCTGTCCCTGAGCTGCTCGCTGTCCCCCGTGCTTCTGACGGTGCCCCACCCCTACTGCTGCCCGTTCTCCTGAATTAGGGTTTGAGGGTGAGGAGTGTGGGGGTGGCGGTTGTGTGTTACTCCCCTTGCTCCTCCTCCTCCCTGGTCTCCCACTGCTGCAGCTGCCGCTGAGGGGGGTGGGTGTGTGGGAGCATACGGTTTAGGGTTTGCTGCAATCAGAAGTTGATCGTAGCCCAGGATCTGCTCAGGAAGGTTCGCTTGAAGAGAGGTAGTGTTGGTGGGCCCTTGATCTCAAAAGGCAGAGTGAATGTAAAATGCTTGAGATGATTAAAACATGCAGGTGCAGGAAATATAAATATGAGTACGGGGAAGACGAAACGTCCTAGCTAGCCATGTACTCTAAGGGGTACATTCCCTTAGTCAGATATATTCTTAATTGTGCGGCTCGTACAGTTTCGTAACTATTCCCGCCAAAACCATCCTGCCTGCAGCTGCCCGGTGCTGTCTCCTCTAACGGTCCAGATGTCCTATAACCGTTCGACGCTTCGATTCAGTTCCAAGCGTCTGACGCTTCTGGTTCATTCCCAGTATTGCGTGTTCCTTTTTGCTGCGGCGAGGAGTGCTTAGTAATATCAAATATTACTATTCGTAACACCCCCCTTCACTCCTGGCTGTGGCTCGAATTGACCTGCTTGACCACACCGCTGAGTTCGGAGCAGTGCTGATACTGCTGGCGTGGCAGTCGCTTCGTGAGGAAGTCTGCTGCCATGTCACCTGTTGGGCAGTAGGTGAAGTTGACCTTGCCTTTGTCCACTTAGTCCTTCACGAAGAAGTAACGCAGCGCAATGTGCTTGGTGCGGTAAACGAAACCGGGCTTGTTCGCGATGCGAATCGCGCTCTGGTTGTCGCAGTGAAGGCGGAATGTAGGCGAAGCTGGAATTTTCGCTTCTTGCAGGAGTTCCTGCAGGTAGATGAGAAGAATTGAGCGAGAATCAAATGAGTATGAACGAAGTGAGTACAAATAGGAAACCCT